CCAAAGTTGATATTTAGATTTTATTTTATTTTTTGCCAAGTACTTTCAAGGACTGGGCTTGAAAAAGTTAATAAAAATTTGGATAGACAGAACTTATCAATATTATTCAGCTAAACATGTTTGAAAGAATTCTTACTTCCAAATTACACCTTATTTAAATATATATGTATATAATTTTATCAAAAATATTAAAAGTTCAGGATAAGTTATTGAAGATCGACTTTTGAAGATGAATTTTGTGATGTCTTGTTTTTCAGTATCCAGATAAGAATAATTGCAGCAGTTATTACAGAATATATGTTTTATAAACCCTTATTATATACACTAACAAATTTTCCAACTTAAAATTTTTTAAGACATAAAGTGCTAATTCTATGAATTTATTACAATAAATGAAAACCTAAATATTCATTATATATATATATATATATATATATTTCTATCATATATATATATATATATATATATATATATATATATATATATGTGTGTGTGTGTGTGTGTGTGTGTGTGGGCATGTGTGTATGATAAAAATATAGTTGTAAGGTATGCTATATCTATGGGCAAAAGTATGTATAAATATAAGAGTGCATATTGAGGTCAATATGGAGTGGCGAGTCTGTTTCATGCTCAAATGCAATGTGACACTATTTAGCTGGCTAACTAATTAAGCATGGAAATTAAAAACGAGAAATACTTAAGGTGAGAAAGAGCTATAACGAAAGACATACCGAGCGACATTATTTTTATTTTCATTTATGAAGAAAGATATTTTTTTTGCAGAAAACAGAAAATTCATAAGAGAAACAGGTTTCAGATTCTGTCGGAATAAATTAATGTCATGATAAGAGAGTGACGCACCAAGGGAGACAGAATACGGGTAAAGAATAACAATTTCACCACACACATAGCAATAATAAAAATTTTGATTCAGTCAGCTGCATGTAGGCCGAAGTAATTGAAATTTGGTTATCTTGGATTCCGATGAAGAAAGCCAGCCATATGAATACAGACCTTGATATGGTCATTGTGACTACCTGTTCAAACTGTTAACGACAGACTTTCTGTCACTGAGAACAGGCATCTGGAAATGTAATAATATTGAGATGAGAAAGACAAAGAGATTTGGTCTTCAGGTGAAAAATGACCACCAAGTTAAAAGTTGACTGCAATCATTAATGAGTCGGCAGAGAATTCCGCTAATGAATTCCAGGTGCCCCCAGGATAAGACAAAAATTTAATGACCACAATGTGCGGTCCATAAGAATTCTGGCCAATAGAAAAGAAAGAAAGACAAGGGAAGATAATTTTTTTTCATTGGACGATAATGTAAACTAATGCCAGTCTAGCCACACCCACACCGCCAAGAGATCATTGGCTAAAGTGGTAGCATGGGTGATAGGCGGAGATGAATGTATGAGAAAGAAGGGAAACTTGTTGACACCCACTGAAGGGATTGGTATGAGATACCAATATGAGAAAGGAAGAGTTTAGGGGGATAATTCTCCTCCGACCTCTCCTCACAGAAGGGGGAGGACTCCTCTAAAACAGAAAGTAATTGACTTCCAAAAATGGGAAGTGATAAATTTTCCTGTCCAAAGACAAAGAGAATCCTTATTGAGGATTTGGAATTATTGAAGAACCCAAACTACGACAGGCCTCAACCCGGTTTTGGTCGATGTCCATATAAATGAATGTCCCCGAGTGTTCAGAGTAGAGTTGGGTTGGAGATCAGAGACAGATCGACATAGAGCTGTTGGGCTTGGAGACCAGCCTTGCAGGAGCTGACCGAAAGATTTCCACGCCTTCCAACTTAGATTTCTAACCAAAAGCAAGTTTTAATGAAGAACGACTTAGACTTCTAGCCAAAAGCAATTTTTAATAAAGAACGAATTAGACTTACACCACCAAAGCAAGTTTTAATGAATATCGACTGAAAATACCAAAAAGCAGTTTATTGAAAAACAACTTAAGATATCAAGACTTGTTTAAGAAATGCAAAAGTGTCACGAATCCATAGAAGCGGGCTGGGAGAAAGACGCACTCCTGTATTCAGCAGACAGATATAAAGATACTTGTTATTTCTCAACACATTTGAACCTCCTGAGTTTGTTTCATTATTTTTCTTTTACATACACTTGTGCGGTATCACCTTTACCCCAGATTCAGCTTGCACTACTGCCCGATGCCTGATTGATTTCGTCTACCTAAGATCAAATCACAATGTGGGTAGGTTAGACTAGAGATCAAAGCAGTTACTTCGGTAACCAGACGTTGGAGGTGAGCTGAGAACGACAAAGCTGATATCGAATCTAACCAGACATCGACCGCGACCAAGACAACCAGAGGGGTTAGTGTCACACATGGTTCTGTGGTAAGCCAGGTTTTCACCCAAACCAGCCAAGGGTTAGATTGTCACAAATGGTGCTGCAACCAGCCCAGGGTTAGAGTGTCACAGCAATCTCCTAGAAGAAGATTGCATTTGAGCATGAAACAGACTGCTGCAACTAGGTGTTGAAGATCAAATGTAGGTCAGGTATGGGCAGGAATCCAACAAGAAAATAAAATGAAATAAAGAAAAAAGTGAGGAAACAAATCTCAATCTAACATGTTTCACTTTTATTAAGGCTTTGTCAGAGATTGAGAAATATATATATATATATATATAGGAACTGGGATCAAATATGGATTAAAATTCAACAGAATGATAAGATAAGGAACAAATAGGAAATTTTTATAGATTAAGTTTGCTTTTATTTAAGCTTTATCAGAAATAAAATGTGGAGGAGAAAAGGAAATTCTGGTATTTTTTAAGCAAGCTGCCACTAAGATGCAATCGGCTACTTGGGGCGAAAGATAATGAAAAGACTTTAGAAAGAATTGAAAACCCAATTCTTAACAAAGGATAAACACCTGTTCAAAAGAATGGGGAAAGGTGTGAACTGGATGATGTTATTTTTAGTAGGTACATGTGTTTGAGGTGAGATCCCTGTAATTTTAAACAATAAGATTAATGTCAACTGGCCTAAAAATCAAGAACCCTTACTAACAACAAAATAATGCATAGAAATGTGTTATATACCTTTTCTCTAACGGTGAAAATTTTGCTAAAGTTGTATCTAACCATAAATCAGGAATGCATCTTTTCTCTCTGGTGTCTAACAGAAGTTTGTTTCTCTATAATGATGGGGCTCTGTTGATTGGCTGTTAAGAGTTATATAACCAGGCAAGTGCATTGCATGCTAATCAGGGAAGAGGAAATAAACTTATCCCAACAAGGTCATAAACATCAGCAAATCAGCATATAATAATGACAATTACTTATCTTGAAAATTCAGATGCAGAGACCCATTTAGCCACTACAGAAAATGGCTCAAAAAAGATTCCCACATGTTTTATATATGAAGTTGAGGTATCTGGCAGACTATAGCTAAATTGCTTTCATTTTTCTCTTGAAAATTACAGCTGTCTTATGTTTAAGAAAGTTTTTTCTTGCTATTCTAACTGTGTGGTTTGTCCAAATCTTTTTCTATGATACCCAAGCTACATATTTCAGTAATATTAAATGCTTACTCACAAAAATACACAAAAATAATTTTTCTTTTGATTCCTTGCTGAAATGGGGGAAGTAGTTAATGTCAGTAACAAATGAAATTACTTCAGATGAGCCTACAGGGACTTTCTTTCTGGGTAGAAAAAGAAGAATTTCAAATACCTTAAATACATGCGATAATCCAAAAATTATGCTTTCTATTTATTTCCATGGAAACTACAACATGTATTGGAAGCATGTATAATAATACTATTAGATAGAGACTGTTTCTAATTACAACACATTATTCTTTTCCCATAGTCATTACTATGGTGAAGTATATTAGACACCATCTAACTGTGCTCACATCCATTGTTTAGTATCCATGAATATTTAATAAGCATCATGAGTCACCAATCTCATAGCCCATTAGAGTTGTAGGGGTATCACATGTACTGCAGCCATAACAGTAGTGGTGTGTCTAGGGCAAGATAACCTGCTAGAGCCCATCCATCTTCCATATTTTTGAAATCAGAGTTTGCCTTATCCTAGACTCAAAACAAGAGATCCTAGTCTGTCCTGCTATTTAAACCACAACTGGAGAAAGATAGGTTCATGCCTTTTGCAAGTGCATTTGTGCAAAGTGAAAGAAGGAAGCCAAATTAACTTTTTCCATGTTGAATTCACCATTACACTCTCCACATCTCCCTCAGTAAGCATCAATGGGTGAAAACATAGAAATTCAATAATACACATCTTCTTTGTACACACTTTTATGTCAGACCCTATTTTATCAGATTGCCACTCATCTGCAAGGTGAAATAATTATGGGTTATTTGTGGAGAGGTCCAATCTCTACTGCTATACCTCCAACTTCTGACTTAATGGACTTGAATAATTAAAGAGATGACATTACTTTTAAAGCAATCTTTGTAAATTGAATGCATCATGGAATCTATTGTATCAAAAGGGGAAAGATACAATCATTCTAGTGTGAAAAACAACAAAGCATATCATTTGTTTAAACTTCTTTGTAAATTTATACAATAAGCTTAAATAATGTACTGTTTTTTTTTTAGTATAAAAAAAGCTTATTACAAATGATAATGGTAATATTAGCTGTTTCCTTATAAGGAAACATTCAATATTCATTGACCAAGCACCCAATGCTGCTGTTGGTTGAAATTTATACAATCTTTCTTTTAAAACAATTTTTCACTGTTTCTCAAGTCCAGTAGTTGTTATCATTCTTTCCTGTATTGCTGGGGTTTTCCTTCCTAACTCTTTACAAAGCTTAGCTTAATATAGCACAAGGTCACAAGGGTGGGGCACTGAGTGAGAATTAAATTCATTATGGTGGTAATGACAACTTGGTAGTCACTATTTAATAGCAAAGCAATCTGGAAACCAAGACTACATTACTAAAACAGATTTTTAAAATGAGAAAAACTATCCAACAATAAATTTTTTAAGATAGATAGATAGATAGATAGATAGATAGATAGATAGATAGATAGATAGATAGATTTCTGCATTTGGGCAACAATTCCTCTTTAATACATGTTTTGTTAAACAAGATTATTTTGTTTGATTTATTTGTTTTTACAGCTTATCAATTTTTTTCAGGTTATTTAAAACCAGCAAATATATTTAGATTGTAAGAAATTTTTCGAGATAATGATTTTACTGATACAAGTCCTACTAATCAACCAATAGCTGGGGGAGAAAAAGTGGATTCATATCTTCCCCAAGGGTATTTGTGTGTAAGTGAATATAATGAACCTGGCTGGAAGTGGAACTCAGCTCACTGATTAACAATTCTAATCTATTATCCATGACACCATCCACACATCCAAGCTTACAGCACCTGGTATTCTCAAGTGGTCTTCCATCTAGTTATGGACCAAGCTTGACACTGCTTAACTTCAATGATCATATGAGAGCTGGTGTTTTGATGTGGTATGGCTGTAAGCAAACAAAATTGACAATGTACTTTTTTAAGGTTTTTTATAAAATTTTCTTGTAAGTGAGGAGTGTAAAAAGTATAAGTGTAAAAACACACATCAACACACTTATATACTTCAAACTACAAAGGTAGAAATATAAGTTAAATATAGATATACACATCTAATAATAAAAATAATACAAAGGTACATACAAATATCATGGCATGTCTACATATGTAAATCATATAGATATATATACATATATCATTATGTATGAACAACCACATTTACAAAAAATATTAGATTTTGTTTGTATCTATAATCTATGTTTGATAAAATATTCACATGAAAAAATGTACACATATAAATATACATACACAAATCATTATAGCTTCTAATATATATATATATACATATTGTAACTAATATGTGTTTAATATAATTATTAGATATGAGAAGGTATTAAAAAAAAACCCTAGACAGATATACAAGTAAATATAAACTAATTCAAGCTAGTGAAGATGTTGTATCCTGTCAGCACTCCCACATTTTTTTAAAATAACTGGAAGAAAAAGCTTAACCAGTGTTGTAAGATTGATTCAGGAAATAAAAAGGCCTAAAACCATCTTCCACATACCATATGGCTAGAAATAGGATCATGAAGGTTTTTTTGTAGGACCCCCCCTTTGAGTATGCAGTATTGTGGTGTATGTCAGATGAATAGTGATAAATAAATTCTTGTGATGTTTGAGTAAATTGTAATGAATCAGTGATGACCAACCTCACCTCATTTCTCTTTTAGACTTGTTCTATAATTGTATTTTTTATACAATAAATAATGACTAGGATTAGGATCAAAGTGTAGTATTTGTTCCAGCAGCTGCACATACAGCTCCGGCCATCAGTAGCAGTTTCACCTAACCAGCCAGCCATCATCTCCAGCTCTTCATTAGCCACAGCACCTAATTTCAGCAGGAATCCAGCTCCAGCCATCCTCACCAGCAACAACGATATGTAATAAACTGTTCTTTTCAGGACACTTTTCAGTGACTACAAAACTTCTCTTTTCAGGACAATGCTCTTTACCAACTACAAAGTTGTCCTTCTCAGGATAATGCTCTTCTCACTCTCTACATGAGCATGCAGAGATATTTTTGTTGATGTATTTTCTTTAATGAAAATAAACTTGGCAATATATTTTTTACTCAAGTCTTTGTTTTGTTTGTTGTTGTTTTCCATCATTCAATATAACACCTGCAACAAATATACATTCATACAAAAAAATAAAACATTCAACTAAAGATAAAGTAACACAAACATTTAAAAAAGGAAGGTATAGTCTTCAATTGAAATCAGTTTGGTTCAACATGTTTCAACAGGTATTTAATGCCTACATGTGACCATTAATTCATTTCTCTTGTTTAATAAATTAGGGTTAATTAATTTTTAAAAAATAGTTAATTTTTCTACTAGGCATAGGTTACATTGTTTGCCTTTCTCATTGTAAGATTTGGTTTTTGTTATTATGTTCCACATAATTATGGGTCTATTGCCAACATCCTTTAATTGCTAGTAATATTTAGAGAGAGAGCAGTGTTGTTTTTGTATTTTCCCTTATTTAAAGTTAATTTATGATTATTAAAACAAATTTTCCCAAAAGTTTCAGTGGAACCAAAGTAAAATTTAACATTTTTATCAGATTGTATACTAGCTTCATATACAATTTTTTTAAATCATACATTAGACATTTAGGGAACAGATCATATTGCTTTGGTAGTTATATTTATTATTTATAATTCTAGTTTTGTTGTAGTTCTTTTTGCAAGTAATATAATTACTCAATATAACTGAGTTATGGTGGCATATAGATTTTTCGATATTTCTAATGCAGCTGTAACTAATCTTGTTATTTTTGTTAAAAATCTCCTTTAATGTTGCTGAAATTTTAAAATGTTTATCTATTGAGAAAAATTCTACCAACATTAATTTTTACATTGCAGCAGTAACAGAAATTAAACCATAACTCATTTCATTATCTTTTTTATTTTTACCTCCTTTGTTTTTTCCAAGTATTCTATATTTATTTTGTGATTGATTTTTTCTAAGGCTTTTATATACTTAATTTTATTTTCAGCAAATATTTCATTATTGCTACTAAATGAATTAATGGTCACATGTAGGCATAAAAACAAATACCTGTTGAAACATGTTGAACTAGATTGATTTCAATTGAAAACTCTACTTCCTTTTTAATTCATTTTGTTATTTTATCTTTAGTTGAAATATATATATATATATATATATATATATGTTTTACAATTGGAATTAAGATACCATTAGTTAATGATCATTTTCACCTACAAATTTTAAAATTTAAAAGTTGCAGGATTTTTCAAACTCCCCTACAAACTGACACCATAAACAGTTTGAAAAATCCTGTGAATTTTAAATTTTAAAATTTGTAGGTGAAAACAGTCATTAACTAATGGTATCTTAATTCCAATTGTAAGAAAAATTTTGAGCTGTTTCATGAAAATTAACATTGAGTGCTCTGTGTGAGTGAGTTTTAACATTTAATATTTAAAATTCTATATTGCATTAATAGGACTCGCTTGGATTATACTAACAGGTGTGTATATATATATATATATATATATATATACTTTAAAAATCAGTTGGTGAGTTTCAACTTCATTAACTTGGTTTCAACCTTACAGTATCCTCAGGCGATTTTTATCAAATGACCTCTTAACACTTTATTTTTAAAAAAAAAATAATGAACGCTATATTATTATTTTCAAAACTAAATAAAAAAACACACAGCATTGGGTGTAATAGAAATGGAGGAGAAGGATATGAAAAAGGAAGAAGAAGAAGAAGAAGAAGAAGAGTAGAAAAGCAAGGGTGTTGTAAATGTATTGGGGTGGGGTGGGGGGTTAATCGAAATGTACAAAAAAAGTAATGTATATTACTTGCCAGTCGATTCCTGGTCAATGCTGCCACTGGCTGTTGGTGTTGGTTATTCTGATCTGCACTACACATTATGTTGATTGATCACTGAACTGGTAAATATCAAGTTGTCATCAGCTATTGTAGTGCTGATTTGATCATGGCGAAGCTATGTCATAAAGGAAGAATAAAAAATGTTCTTGCAGGTGAAATAAAGAAAAGACAAGAATTTCTTCACGGTCTATTTCTATTCGTTTTATATCGTTCTTTGTACAGAAATATTAACTCTTCCTAATTTGAATTCTATTATGACACTTTACTCACTGTAGCTATGTCTGGGACAAGGCTTAAGTCGGGAGTTCTCCTTTGCAGCAAGTCACATGGGATTTGTCAGAGTAGTTGTCTTTCATTGTCTGCACTCTGCAACTCTCACTCTGGAACTCTTTTTGTCACTTCAGTGTTCTGCTTATATTGACTTTCACCTAAAATTGTCATAGGAGTTGATATAGTTAGGGGACCCAGTGTTTACTCTATCTTCCGCAAAGAACTCTTTGTTGTCTGGCTTTGGAAAATTAATTATATCTCCAAATTTGTGGAGATCCCTACAAGCATAACATTTGCTTTATCTAACTTTTTCTTTATTTGTATAATCTAAGAGTTAAATTATTATTTTTATAGTTTTTGTTTATAACTAAAGGGAAAATCGCCATAAAATACAGATTATTTAATAATTTTAACTGTTTTACATGTGTTTTCATTCAGCCTTTTTCTTACTGTTTAAGGATTAATGTCTATTTCGATCATATGGTCACTGTATATGCGTGATTCTGGGCAGAAACTATATTTTTATTTACCCCATTTAGATTCAGACTATTGTCCTCATCTTTGTTGATGATATCACATTTTGGCTGTTACATCCTCTGACCTTTATCAGGTATATATCGATCTGGGTAACTTACAGTGAATTCTGAACTGTACTTTTTATTTAATCTACAGGGGTAGACTATTCTTATTCTGGCTTACAACCACATCATGTTGAAACACTGGCTCTCATACAATCATGAAAGTTAAGCAACATCGAGCTTGGTTAGTACTTAGACCGCTAGGAAATAACAGGTGCAGTAAGCTTGGATTCATGGGTTGTGTAATGAATAATGCCTTGGAATTGTTAATCAGAGAGTCAAATTCCAATTCCATTTGAGTTTGTTATATTCATTTATGTACAAATAAACTTGGGAAAGCTATGAATTCACTTCTTTTCCCCCTCAGCTATGGGTTAATTAGTAAGACTTGTATCACTAAACCATTATCTTCAAAAATAAAATTGCATACAAAATATTTAGATTTTGGCATTAAATAACCCATAGATATGTTGATATGCTGCTAAACACAATCAACCAAAATGTTCTTTTTCCTCTGAATGTAAATAGTGTAAATAATGATAAATCCTCAACCCAGAAATTCAGACAGCGTCTATATTTTTGTTACTATTATAAATTAATTTCTTCAGACCAGTTTCCTCATATTGGTTCTCTTTGGAATATAATTTCAGCCACTGTATCCTTCAGCCTTCTTTCCAACTGAATTTCTGATATGGTATTATTATTATTATTAGACATTCATTCAAGCTAATTTCCTCATCTTTGCTCTTTTTAACATATAATTTCAGCCACTGTATCCTTCAGCCTTCTTTCCAACTGAATTTCTGATATATGGTATTATTATTATTATTATTAGACGTCCATTCATCTTTTCTCTTTTTAACATATAATTTCAGCCACTCTATCCTTCAGCCTTCTTGCCATCAGACTTTCTGAGGTGAGGTCTTATTACTATTATAATACTACCCTCATTTTCTAAGGACACCCATCATCTAGGATGGCTAGCCAATCTCTTTTGCAAACACATGCTCAAGCACATTTGTGCTTATTCAACACTCACAGAACTTACCTTTAATTTATACTGCAACTATGCTGATTGAACCCAAGTTTCTGGAGAGAAAGCATAAGTATGCTCAAACCCTTGTTCATGATGACTTGAGACTTTGTATGTCACAATAATTGACAGTTATCTACCAAATTTCACTTACAAGGCTTGGATCAACCCATGGTTTAGTTTTCAGGCATTTTCCACATTCAGGAATCACTGATAACACTAAGAAATCACCGTCCCAATAAATCAACCATGGGGTGATTTGAACCTGAGTATTATTGTTAGAAAGCGAATGTTGTAACCTCTCCACCATAAACCCATGTTATCATTTTAGAGTGATTTCTTCAAACCAGATTTGCTATCTTTGCTCTCTTTAACGTTGCTGCTGATATTGCTAAATCTCATGCCATGATGCTGTTGACCCCATGAGAACCACCTGGTACCTAAAGCTCTTGGTCTTGTCAGAGCTTAAGAACATGCTCCAGTACCAGATTAATCTGCTGGAGCTCCTGGTGAATAACGTTCACCCAACAGCTGCATGGTCTTTGGCTAAGTTATCTTTTTAACACGGTTTGAATGAATCAATGTATAATAATAATAATAATAATTAGGTAAATCCTTGAAGAACTCAATATATAATAATCAGATTCAAATTCTTTTCTTACAAACTTTGAAGTTATTATCAGAAATTTTTTTACCTAATATAAAATATTTATATCAGAAATTCTAAAAAAAATGATTCACACCTGAATCAATTTTAATGCTAATAAAAGACAAGGATTGTTTCATAACAGAAATTTATAAATTAATAATGGTGATTTTTTTCAACTGGGGCAAGTAGATTGATTGGTTGATTTATGTTTTACAGCTTATCAACTTTTTGCAAGTTATTTAAAGCCAGAAATTTTTTTTTAAATTATAAGAATTTTCTTGAGATAATGATTTACTGATACATGTCCTACTAATTAACCCATTGATTGGGAAGAAGAGATGGATTTATAGCTTTCCCAACAGTATTTGTGCATAAATGAATGTAATAAACTCAACTGGAATTTATAAATTGCTTGATTTTTAACATCTTTATCTTTAAGATGCTAGTTGTTTTTGTTTAGCAGTATATCAACCTCTACAGGTTATTTAATACTGAAATCTAAGTATTTTGTATGCAATATTATTTTTTTGGAGATAATTATTTTAGTGATACAAGTCTTACTAATTAAAGCATAGATGCAGGTGCGGAAGAGGCAGGGGATTTGTACCTTTCCCAAGGGTATTTGTGCATATGTGAATAGAACAAAACTGGCTGAAATTGAAACTCGGCTTTCTGACTGCCAATTCCAAGCCATTAGTTATTACACTAGCTGCAGATTCAAGCTTACACCACCTGGTATTCCCAAGTGATCACCTATCTAGATACTGACCAGGTTCAACATTGCTTAACTTTGTTGATCATATGAAAAGCAATGTTTCAAGATGATATGGGTGTAAGCCAAGGGCAAGTAGAAAAAAAAAACATTTCAAATTTCAGTTGTCTGTTAGACAAAAATCTCATATTCACAAGATTTCTTTGCATTACCAGCATATTGACTGGGATGCATTTCATAACTTTCTTTTTTGGCATGATTTGGATTGATATTCTTAACCTTCCTATTGAAAATTGTGCCATAGAGGTTTCTTCTTAGATTAAACTGGCATTGATGTTTTTGTACCTTCTCAGAAATACCAAATGAAACCACAAATTTCTCCATGGTTCACAACAGCCTGTTTAACCACTATAGTCCACAGGAATCACTTTTCTAGATATACCAGTATGACAGTTCTGATTCCACCAGATACCTATTTGTATCTTTGCTGATACAGTAATATACACTCTAACAACACTCTCATGACTATTGATGGCTCTGTAATAATGTGTTAAATAAGAGTATGTCCTCCACCCCTTCACTGAGTTTGAGGTATTAACATCTGTTGATAAAGCAGAATATTTTGCTTGTAAATTCTCTTCTGATTCTACTTTTGATTCACCTGGAGTATCTTTGCCTGACTTTCCTCTCAGAACTGAGTCCATGTTGAGTGATATGCATATAACTCCATGTGTGGTTTCTCCTATCATCTCTACAAGGGATCCCCACAAAACATATGAACCTGATAGCAACCCTGCAATAATACTTAAGAAATGTTCTTCTAAATTGGCTTTTTTTCTCTCTAAACTCTATGCCAAAATAAATGCCTGGTTGCTTCTTGCTTTGTGTCTTGTTAGAAATCATCTTCTGTAGTTTCAGTCTTTTGAGCCATAGGATCCTTCTATATATCAGCCTATTTTGCAAAGTACAAGAGGCCCTAATCAACTCTGAACTGGTCAAGCATCTTACATCACAGGGTTTTCTTTCAGATAGTAATATGATTTTCCTTCTTTAGCTCAACTGTGAATATATTAACAGTTATTACTGAAAGAGTCTATCAAGTTTTAGATTAGAATGGTGAAGCTTTTGCTTAGGATATCTCATAAGCATTTGACAGGATTTGGCATACTGGTCTTGTTCACAAGTTGAAAGGTTATGGTATTTCTGGATAAATTTTTTAACTGAATTGGTCTTTATCAATCTGCAAAATAAAAGTTCTCCTGAACAGCCACTCTTTTTGCATTAATGCAGTTGTCCCCCAGGGCTCTATGCTTGGAACTACGCTGTTCCTAATTATCATCAATGACCTTATTGATGTTGTCAGTTCTCAACTCAGTATCTATGCTGATGACACAACTATTTACAGCTGATCTCAAAAATGACCTACAATCTACTGTTAAGGGGGCAAGGAATGGCTTGTTAATTTTAATACCTCCACAGCAAAATTGCTCTCTATCAATCATCCGAGAGACTCCTTTCTGCCTTTCATCAGCATGACTGATGCTAACCTCTCGAACTAAAGCTTTCTGCTGACATGAATTGGAAAGATTATATTGAATCCAATGCTAGGTCTCCTGCTCAGAAAGTTGGTTCACTGTGTCATGCTAGACAATTTTTCTTACCAGAATCTATTTATAAGTCTACCATTCATCCTTTCAATATTGCTGCCACATATGGACTGGTGCACCTGCTATATATTTAGAAACTTTTGATAAAATCTGAAGAAGAATCTGCAATATTATTAGTCCTGACCTGTTGTTTCAGTTTCCCACTGCCATAAAGTAGATTCTCTGTGTCTTTTCTATAAATACTTTCATGGTAATTGTTCTGATGAATTGTTCTCTATGATACCTAGACTCTATAAATTTAAGTGCAGTACTAGATTGGCAGCAAGGTCTCATCATTTTACAGTTGAATTGTCTATATATGACCATAAGTTCTATGTTAACAGATTCTTCTATCACACTTCTCACTTGTGGAACTCTCTTCCAGTTTCTTGCTTCCAAGTCAACTTTGATCTTCAAAAATTTAAATGCAATGTCAATCATTATCTTGTCTTCTTAATTCTTGTTCTTTTATTGTTCTCTTTCCTTAATAGTGATTTTTCTGATATTCTCAAACACTCAGTAACCCCTTGTGTCTTAGTGGTTTTATTGTCTTGCTTGGGGTAATGATTTAAAAAAAATTCAAATATTGATTTTCATAGTAACCAGGACTTTTACAATTAGAAGACTGGTGCAACACAGTCTTCCTAACTACATTCCCCATTAGTTGTCATTTTCCTATACTGACCTATACTGAGTAAATATTATTACAACTTTAATGAGTTTGATCCTCATTGCATGATATAATGCTCATAGCCTTGTTATATTGAGTAAATATCCTCACTACTTTGGTGAGTTTGACAGTCACTGTGCATCCCAATACATGTAGCCTGGTGTTGTACAAACCTATACCAAGTAAACATAATGTATAAAATAATATATGTTCTTACATTAAAGGCATTTTTTCTTTTCCCTTTCATTTTATTGTAGGGTTTTAAACACAACCATCATTTCTTTTCATTTGGTTTATTTCATTTTAAATATTTATATAACATTTAAATATATTCTTTGTTCATGTATTCTGCTTACAGGCCAAGATGTCTTGCAGATTTTTAAAACCCACTCCTGGCAGATTCCTCACCACTATCAGTGCCTTCAGAACTCGACTCTGAAAAAAAATATGGAAGAGGAGGAATATCAAAAAACAATTTGTATAAAAGCCTGTCATTTATTTTTGTGTATTTATTATTTAACTTAAAACACAAATCAAAATTTTTATTTCGCAAAGCAAAAATAGCAAAAAATACCAGCCTTCAACAATCAGCCAACTAGCCAACCAGTAAGACACCTCAACTGACCTTTACTCAAACTCATTGTTGCTTTTTACCACAATTTGATAGGTCAATACACTCATCTATATTAATATTATTTTATTATTAGCTTTGAATAATTTCTTGGTGCTACAAAACATAAGTAAAACATAAAGAAACATGAAGCATATTAAGAATTCCTTCCTTCCTTAGGTTTTATGTATGATGCATGCCTGGGCGATCATGTCTCTTTCGAGTCATGATTGACATTCATATAATATTTTACTGGACATAAAGTGGAAGATATGTTTCCCTAGTGTTATTAAGTAATAAAATGATTATCCCGGAATTACTACATATTAATATCCTTCCTTTAACCAAAATAGTTTGCTTCCTCCCACATAAACCAAGGAAAACTCCAAGGTATAACATTGAAGCCCTTAAAAATGATAGGGTACTTTTAGAATTTAGTAATAAGAGTACAGATTGATGTCAGTAAATCAAGATCAAAACATAGATGAATCTAATAACATTATCATATTGTTATTAGCTGAAGCATATGAGACAAACCCAGGAAAACCTAGAAGGAAAAAGATACATCCATGAGATGATAAACTTAAGTAAATAAAATTGATATGAGAAAGAAACAAACAGAAGATGAAAAAAATAGAAGTAAAAATGCCAAAAAATTAACAAAGAAAATAAAAAATAGATAATTCTTTGAGAAACTAGTCTCTCTGGAAAATTGGAAATAAAATTAATGAAGCCAAATAGTACAGACAATTTGTTAAAATGTGGAGGAAAACAGAAAATCATGATAATATCATACAATCAAAACTCCTACAGAAAAATGCCCTGGTCTCAAAAAACACTTTAAATTGCATTTCAACCTTGACCAGAAATAGAACATATGCTAATTTTCATCCAACCATTACAAAATCAATCCCCAAACATAAACAATAATGAACCTAGTGATGAGGAAATTAAGAAAACTATTAAAAAACTAAGTAATAATAAAGCATCACTTGACAATGAAGCTAAACTTTTGAAAATAGATTACTTTCTTCCTGAATTCAATAATAAGCTCCTCTATTATATGAGAGAAGTCTGGAATCAGAAATGCATCCCCTAAATTGGGGTCTATCATGCATTCATGCAAAAAGGTGTCCCTCAAGATAATACAGAAGTATCTCAATTGGATCCATCACAGTGAATGTATTAATGAACATTATATTAAGTAAACTCTCATTGTTTTATGAAAGTCAATTCCTAATGACCTGGTTTGTTCTGGAAAGGGATGCAATGATAGAATATGTCATCAAACAACTCAAAGAAATTGCTTACTGTTGTGGTAGGATCTACCTAATTTGCATAGTGGAGTACCGACCATATAAATAAATATGGTTGGTACCGGGAAGAGAGGGAGGAATCAAGAGATTCAACCAGAGACTCTGCCCGACTGCGACTCAGTCAACACATTCTCCAGGAACGGTCTTACCAGGAATATACAAAAGATTATATGTAAATATTGTGTACACTTCCTTGTTTCAATACATTTTGTTCTAAGTACATTTTGTGTTGCATTATTATTCCATGCATTAGTCAAGTTTCAACACTTACCTCTCTAATAGAAACTGTATACCTGCTTTGTTGACCTTAAAGCAACGTATGGCCATATTAATACAGACTTCCTCTTCTCATCCATTAGAAACTGCCTTCCAAGCTCAGAATCCATGGGATGCATTGATCTAATAGAGGAACTGTATCAATTTACAGAATCAAACATGTCTGGTAGAGGAACCTAATATGGAATCATTTCAAACCTCATCGGCAGTACAACAAGGAGGAAATAAAAGCCCCAGTCTATTTAATCTCTTCCTAGACTATGCCCTGCATATTTACTAACACAGATGTGATCAATACTAGAGAGAGCGATAAAAGCTACTGGGCTTGAGAAACATGTTTTCCTAAAAAAGTATTCTAAGAGTAAGATTTTATAAATTTCAACTTAAAACAGTACTGGCTGCTTGAATGCCAAATGTTTCCTTGTAGGGAAACAGCTAATATTCCCATTAGGTGACATTTGTGATGCCTGCTTGGGCGATTATGTCTTTTTTCGATACATGATTGACATTCATATTAGGTTTTACTGGACATAAAGTGAAGGATCGGTTTCCCGTTGTTATTAAACAATACAGTGTTCACCCCAGAATTAATACATATTTATATCCTTCCTTAGGTGCCATTATTGTCCATGCTTGGGTGATCAAGTCTTTTTTCGATTCATGATTGACTTGGGAGAAGAATTCCCAGAGTCTGCTACTGTAACTTTGTGTGGTAGACTGGTTGCCAACTGAGGTTATAGGATCCAGTCTGACATGTTATTTAACCCATAGCTAGAGGGAAAAGAGATGGATTCATAACTTTCCCAAGGATATTTGCATACAAGTGAATGTAACAAATTCAATTCTCCAATTTCTTTCTGAGTCGTTATCCATCACACAACCTACACATCCAAACTTACAATAACTGGTATTCCCAAGCAGTCACCTATTGAGTTAGTGAGCAAGTTCAACATTGCTTGACTTGAAAATTACTTTTGAAAATAAAAAGATGTTGTAAGTCCTTTTAAGTGGCTAGCTTTTCAATCAATCCTTATCAAAAGAATTGTTGATAAATATTGGATATTATTCAGTAAGTTTTTTTTTTGTTTTAACGAGAAGAAAAATAAAGATTACTTTTAGAATGTCTTATGCATTTTAATTTGCTAACTTCATCTTAGTGCTTAATCTCTTGTAATTATTAATGTCTGATGAGAACTAATTAAAAAAGCTGGTCAGTTGAGAGGATTTACAACATTTGTTTTTTAAAGTAATTTTCACCATGACTCCATTTCTTTTTCTTTAATTACTAGTTTAATTCCATTTTATTGCTGGTTTTTATTACATTGGGTCAATACATACTATAGAAATTTTATTTTTATTATTTGTGAAAAAATGTTAAAGATCTTTATATAATTGGCTAGGTTGTTTTTTTTTTATACAGGTTATGAGAAAAGTGTATTCTTCAAAAGGCCAGATGTTTTGTGTGTTAAAATTTGTTCAAATTTTATGGCCTTTTAGGCTCAAGCAGTGATACTGCCAAAATTGTTCAATGTGTTTCAGATTCATTTTCTTTTTAATACTTTGAGAGGGTTTTTATATATATTGGCCAATGAGAAACAAATTTTCTGGTCCTTGTGAAATTTTGGTCAGAGCTAATATGATGGTCACTTTTTCAGTAAAAAGGACTGCTATCAGCAGATGAAGAGAGAACAGACAAGAAAAAGAAAGTGCTGTGGTGTTGATGAGAATGGAGAGAGCATTAGCACCCACACTTCAAAGGATGGTCTATCCAGAAGTCATAAATCAGAGCTGACAGAGACAGATCTCTACTCCAAAACTTAAATTCCTTATGAATCTACCATAGAATTCTTCACACTGAGGATACAAGTGAACTTTGTGGCAATATTCTAAAACCCTGGAGAAAATAAGTTGAAATACAAATAGGTGCTATTTGAAAAATTTCTGGCTTTTTCATTTTGTTATTCCTTTCTCCAAGTTTTTCTATTTTGAAGGGTTTAATTTTTTTATATATGAATCCATTTTTTATCAAACTAATTGTGACATATTTTTTCTTGTTTCTGTAGGTAATCACTTTTTTTGTTTTTAACTCAGAAACAGTTATCCTGTCTTTGAGGTGGACAGAAGGAACTTTTTGTGCAACACTTGTATTGTACCTTTTTCATAATTGCATAGACTAAATAAATGTGTTTTCCTTTTGAAATTTCACTCAGTGGTTGTTTTGATTTAAAAATTTTTGCCTCTTGTAAGTTGATGTTTCTACCAACTGAGTTTTGTGTCTGGCACAAGGACTTCAAGTTGGTAGGAAAGTAAAATTTTTATAATACATCCATCAGCATGGCTGATGCTAACCTCCAGGAGAGTGATTCATTGCACCTTCTCTGGCTAATGTTCTCTGCTGACATGAAGTGGAAAGATTATATTGAATCAATTGCTAGGTATGCTGCTAGGAAACTTGGTTTCCTGTATCAGGCTAGACAATTTTTCTTGCCAGAATCTATCTTGCATGTTTTTAAGTCTACCATTCGACCATGCTGTCACATATGGTCTGGTGTTTCTGCTATATATTTAGATATTCTTGATAAAATCCAAAGAAGAATCTGCAATGTTATTGGTCCTGACCTCAGCTTCAATCCTTTGCCTACTGCTCCCTGTGGCTTTTCTATAAATACTTTCATGGTAATTGTTCTGATGAATTTTCATTGATTGTAACTAGACTTTAGAAATTTAATTGCGCTACTTTAAATTTTTGTAGATCGAAGTTGAATGGAAAGCAATGAAGCCAGAAGAGAGTTTCACAAGTGAGAAGGGTAAGAGAAAAAATTGTTAGAATAAAACTTATGGTTACATTGCGCCATTTCAACTGTAAAATGATGAGACCTAGTTGCCAATCTAGTACTCTAAAGTCAAGGTACCAAAGAGGAAAGCTTATTAGAACAATTACCATGAAAATATTTATAAAAAAACACTTGGAGGTGACATTACAGCTGTGGGAAAGTCATAAAATTATAAAAGTGGTAATTTCTATAAAAATGAAATTCTCATAATGAAACAAAAATATTTTGAATGAATAACAAAGATTCTAATTAAAATAATTTTCAACTGTAAATGATGAGATATTGCTGCCAATTGAGAAGTATCCTTAAATTCATAAAACCTAGGTACTGAAGAGGAGAAAATATTTATAGAAAAGGCATAGAGAATCTACATTTTGATGGTGTGAGAATGTCTGAAGT